ATCATAAACCAAGGTTATACAGAATTTGTGACAATCAAAACACCTTCCCCCATAAGAACTCAAAGATAATGAAACCTGCAACTTTCTCACAGAGCTGTGTTTATGTCTAATTTTTTTCTTAGATACATGCTCAGGGTATACATATTTCTAAAGCCTTGGTTCATAATACAGAGGCTACCTGTTGGCCCATATTGTCATTCTCTAGCCTCCATCGATAACTTGCTATCATTTTCCTGTCTGCCTTCCTCTCCTGTCCCCCTTTGTCTTTTGTTCTCCTCTTCCTTGTTTAGTTTTTATGAGGTAGTGTCTTTTATATAGCCCAGGCTGGCCTCAAAAATCACTGGGATTGGCAATGCTCTGCCTTAGTCTCCCAAATGCTGGGATTATGGACATGTGGCACTATACCCAACCTTGGCCATTGCTTTCAGTATTTCTCTCTTTATTCTTTCTGTATCCAACCTAATTCCTATTTCCTTTTCTGTTGTCTTTGTCCACACTGTCCTTCAGTCATTACTCAGCATTAGTGTACATTATGAGATAAACACTATAATCAAGCTAATGAATATATCTAACACTTTATATAGCTAGCTGTCTCAGTTAAGGTTTCTATTGCTGTGATGAAACACTGTGACCAAAAAAGCAGGTTGGGGAGGAAAGGGTTTATTTGGCTTACACTTTCACCAAAGGAAGTCAGGATGAACTTAAATGGTAGGAACCGGGAGGTAGGAGCTGATGTGGAAGCCTATGAGGAGAGCTGCTTCCCGGCTTGTTTTTCCTGTCTTGCTCTGCCTGCTTTCTCATAGAACCCGCCAGCCCTGGGATGACACCATCCATTGTGGACGAGCCGCCTCCCATTGATCACTAGTTGAGAAAATGCCTTACATCTGGATCTCATGGAGGCATTTATTTCCTTACCTGAAGCTTCCTCATCTCTGATGACTCTAGCTTGTGTCAAATTGATAACACAAAGGTAGCCAGTGCATTTTTATTATTTGGTGTGTAGTAAGAACACTTAAGGTCTGTACTTGTAGCAAATTTCAAATTATGATTGCAGTATCATTAAATATAGGAATGGTATTATACCTTCAGGATTTATTCATTCTATGTAAGTAATACTTCATATCCTTTTAACCAACAACACCTTACTTGCCTCTAGTAATCACCATTCTCTTGTCTGCTTCTATGCATGTGATTTTGGATTTCATTTTTTTTTAGATAAATACAGTTTTGTCTTTCTGTGTCTGGTTTAATTTACTTGGCACAATGTCCTCTATCCATGGATAGGTTTATCTATGTTATAAGTGGCAGAATTCCCTTCTTTTTTATGATAAATCTTATATTTATGTTGACAATGTTTTATTTATCAATTTCTTCTTTGATTGGCATGTAGGATTGTTCCATATCCTGGATGTTGGATGTTGAGAATCATGCTGTAGTGATCATGGGACTGCATATGTTCTTTTTAGATATTTGCTTCATTTATTTTGAATACAATATACTTAGCAGTTGGGATTTCTGGACTTTATGATAGTTTTGTATGGAAACACATGCTGTTTTCTATAACAGGTGATTTGCAATTTGTATTCTTATTAACAGCTAATAGCATATAACTAAAGCTTTCTCAGCATCCTCATCAACACTCGTTACCTTCTGTCTTTTTAGTAGTAGTACTCTTAACAGGTGTGTGGTCGTACTCATGGTGATTTTGACTTTCATTTTCTTACTGATCACTGACATTGAGTGCTTTTTCATACATCTGGTCACCATTTTTATTTCTTTAGGCTAAATGTCTAAATTTAGCCCTCTACCCATGTTAGAATCAGATTATTTGTTTTCCTTCCTTTTGAGTTGTCTTAATTCCTTTTATATTTTGGATATTAGCTCCTTCTCTAGGTTTCCTTTTCATTCTGTTGTTTTTTTGCTTTTTGAGTACTTTAGTTTGAAGCTTGTTTATTTTTGCCTTTGTTACTTTTACTTATGATGTCGTATCAAAAAACTCATTACTCAAAAGTTCCAAGGATTTTTACCTCTATTTTTTATAGTCTTTAAGATTTAATATAAATTTGTATTTATGAATTTTGACTTGGCTTGTTTTTAGTTTGGCTTAGGGGTACAGTGTTATTTTTCTACATATGGATCCCAAGTTTCCTAATACCACTTATTAAAGAGATTAGCCTTTTATTTAAATTTAATTATTATTATGTTTTTAGAATTTCACACATGAGTACTGTATATTATTTCAACCACTACCTTTCCAGTTCCAACTCTTATAGTGTCTGCTCTCCTTTTCAAGTTCATGACCTTTCATACACACACACACACACACACACACACACACACACAGAGAGAGAGAGAGAGAGAGAGAGAGAGAGAGAGAGAGAGAGAGAGATTGATTGATTGATTGATTGATTGATTGATTCAGGGGTTTGTTATTGTGATAAAATACCATGACCATTGTTTTCATTAGTGTTACTATTGCTGCAATGAAACACCATAACCAAATCAAGTTGGGAGAGGAAAGGATTTATTCAGCTTACACTTTTATATCACTGTTCATCACTGAAGGAAGTCAGGACAGGAAATCAAACAGGGAAGGAACTGGAGGCAGGAGCTTATACAGAGGGCATGGAGGGGTGGTGCTTACTGGCTTGTTCCACATGACTAGCTCAGCCTGCTTTCTTATAGAACCCAACACCACCAGTCCAAGGGTGGCACCACCCACAATGGGCTGGGCCCTCCTACATCAGTCATTTATAACAACAACAACAACAACAACAACAATAATAATAAAATCCTTATAGACTTGCCTACAGGCCAATCTGATAGAGAAATTTCTTAACTGGAGTTCTCCCCATATAATTCTAGCTTCTGTCATGTCTACCAGAAACCATTTAGGACACAAACACACACACAGACACACAGACACACACACACCACAAAACATACACACTCACACACACACACACACACACACACACACACCTGAGCCACTTAGTATTGCTCTTATATATTTAGAGATGATCACTTGGGATTAGGTAATCTATCAGGGAGGGAGCCCATCCCTGGAGAAGATTGTCCTCTCAACAGCCATTGATTGCCCATAACCCTTGATCTAAGGGTGAACCTTCATTATGCCAGTTTTACTTAGGCAACCATGCTGTTATTGAGATTTCATGAACACAGATTTACTGACTTTATCATGTCTAGAAGACAGTATCTAGACCAAGCCATCCTGGTTATCTGTCCCTTACAATCTTTCAGCTCCCTCTTCAGTAATGTTCTCTGATGTGAGATGCCATTCTGTTTCTCTTATTGGTTAATGAATAAAGCCCTGTTGGTCAATACGGAAGCAAGATAGACATGACTAGGACACAAGGAGGATTCTGGGAGATGTAGTAGAGGAGAGTCAAGATGTAGGGAAGAGGTCCAGACCCTCTCTCTGGTAAGATAAGACCACGTGGAAACACTTATATTAATAGCAGAGGGTTAATATTTAAGACAGAGCTAGCCAATAAGAAACACTAGTAGCAGGCCAACAGCTTTATATCTAATACGGTGTTTCTGTGTGTTATTTGGGGCTGATGTGGCTCTGGGACCAGGCTGGAGGGAAACTGCTTGTAACAGTTCTCTGAGGCTTAGGTGTACAGGTTGTATTGTATTGGAGCAGGACACCCTGAGCATACTTATTCTTTGCATTATGACCAGGTGTTGATCCCTTCAGTAGCATCTCTCTGCTGTGAGGGTTGACAGCTGCCATGTCTGTGGGCATAGGATAAGTATTCAGAATAGTTAAATGTATTATCTAGGGAAGTGGCAGTGGTAGAGTCTTCGGCATTTCTAGCCATGGGTGGTGGACTAGGTTTACAGTACTGGGTTTGAGAAAGACTCCCTTTTTCTTCATTGTGTATTCTCAGCCCCCTACACAAAGATCCATTGACAGTAAAAATGTGAATTTATTTCTGTGTTGAATATACTGTTCCATTAGTCCATGTGTATGCTTTTATGTCAATACCATACTATTTTGATTATCATAGCTATAGCTCTGAAAAATAATTTGAAATTAGGAAGTGTAATGGCTTTACGTTTTTCTTCTTGGTGAAGCTTGGTTGGCCTTTTCAGGATCTTTTGTAATCACTGCCTTAGCTAGGCTTAAGCTAGACTTTGCATAGGGCAGTTATTTCCTGACTTTCCAACTCTGGAAGTCTTTATGGTCCTCTGTACTTAGACAGACCAGGAGGCCTTTCTCCCTCTTAGCACATGTATCTTTCTCAGCTTTTACTATAGACATGCTGTGAACCTCATATTGATAATTATAGCTTTTATTTTTAATTGAATTACTGCTTTAGAATAAATATTCAGGATTTGAAAACTAGATATAGTGGGGGTCTGGATGTTGTTTTCAATTGCCGTATCATTTTGCAGAACAGGTTTTAAGCACTTTATCAGCAGTGTGCCAGCAATTATGGAATAATGGCAAAAATAAATGTTAATAATTTTTAAAATCACCACCTTGAGTTTCCTTTGGTTTCATTTCTCAAATGTCTGTGATTATTTTGTTTCATTTGTTTTAGCTCAGCTTTTTGAGACATGGTCTCTCTATTATGTAACCCTGATTGCCTTGAAACTCACTGTGTGGATCAGGCTGACTATAACTCACAGATAGTCTCCTATTTCATAGACTCTGAAATACAAAATAATTTCATTTTATATCTCTCAATGCATTGGTTCTATAGGTTACATATGCTTAAATTTTACCTGGAGAATATTTTCTTGAACAATATAACAATTGAGAATAAAGACATTACTTAGAAATCAGTTTCTTAAATATGGCATTAAGATGTTGGTTTTTCAAAGCAGTAGGGAGAAATAATAAGAGAGATAAAGATAAGATGATTTGAAAAGTAAATGAGGTTCCATCATACAGCTTGGAATTTCTCAGGAGGATTTCAGTTTCTGCCATTGCTTCTCACTTGATCAAGTTTTTGCATCTCTTTGTTCAGGAAGAGATAATGATGATGATAAGGACGACGCAGATAACCTGAATTTCCGGAAGAATTTGCCTTCATCAAGTCAGAAGACACCTACAAAAAAGGTAAAACTACAAGGAGAGGGTTCTCTGCCAATTGATAGTGGTAGTACTTAGATCACTGACTTAGCTCTCATAGGAATAGGTGTTTATTTACTTCTTACCACAGTTATGTCAGATTCAAAAAGATACTTCTGATATTAAAAGTGACAAACATTGAGAAGACGGGAGGGTTCTGTTTTTGCCATTCTAAAGGAAAGTACTTTCATAGTTACTCTGGAAATTCTAACTTATTTTCATATTCATGCTATTTTTAGTTACTAATAGGTACAAAATAAAAATCTTATGAAGTATGAAGCATACCTAGATACATTAATGATGATTTTTTGTTGATAGAAATAATATGACATAATGTCTTCAAATTATGGCAAGACAAGGTTGCGAAGAGTCTAGCAAGACCAGTATTCTCGGCATTCTGGCTTTCTTGGGGAGCTGCAGCACAAGAAGGGTGGCATATCTTAAGCTTATTTATAGATGCTTTGTACTTCTGTTGCTTTGAGGAAGAGTCTTGTTAGAGAGCTAAGGCTGTGTCTGTTTAGCCTTCCTCCCTCAACTGGGATCACATCTGTGTCACTGTGCTCAGCTGCATTTTCTTTTCCTCTTATCCAATCAACTGGAGCTAGGGGACTTTGATAATGCTGCTGCCCTCTCTTTCATCTCCTAGAAGTCCCAGAAGAAACATCTGTACCATGAGCAAGTGCTGCTCTGTACCCCTCCCTTCCACTTGCTTCACACTTCTGCTTCCCCTAAGGCTGGCAAGAGCACTGCTTTAAAGAGTGATGGAGCTTGGTTGCAGTCTGTAGTCTTGTCGACCTTTCTCTTGTCTGTGAGGTACACAGTCAAGGTCATCTTCACATCTGGCTCAGAATCTCTAGCTTAGTGTAGTGTTTGTTAGTCCACAGAGTGATTTTTTTCCCCTTTAGTAAAGATGATTTGAAAGTGAGCAAATTCATGGAATGTCTCAAGGAGTCTCTTAGCATATTTAATTATACAGAGTAATGTGTTTCATTTATTATGCCATTTTCATGCATGTATATAATGTGTTTTGATTATGTTTTATCTCAATGCTTTTTTCACAAGTTGGAAGCTTAGCTAGATGGGGTCTTTCCAAGGTATTGTTTCAGTGCAGATTAGGTTTCTCCTTAATGCCATGAATCTCCTTAGCAACTACATGCTCCTTTCTAGAACAAGCTTGGGGCCAACAGTAAGCCATATGACAACTCACAGCTGTCTGTAACTCTAGTTTCAGAGTACCCAACACCCATGGCAAAATACCAACATACTTAAAGTAAAACTAAATAAATTTTAAAAAATCAAAATTCCTTAAAATTCCAGGGGAGGATGAGCCTTGTTATAACCTCCTCCCCCCATGATAGGGTGCTGAGTGTCCAGTCTTGTGCAGGTTATCATAGTTGCTGTGAGTTCAAGAGTGTTGTGTCTCTGTCATGCCCAAGAGAGAGCGTTTGACATTAATTACTCTACCTTCTGTCTTTCTGCCCCATCTACATTGTTTCACTCCCCAAGTCTTAGAGAACATTGTGAGTAAATGTCCCATTAATGGCTAAACATTCAACAGTCACTTACTCTTAGAACTTTGGCTAGTTATGAGTCTCTGCTATCTTTCCTTCCCATTGCAGAAATGAAGCTTCTGTGACCAAACACAACAGTAACACTAATATACGGGAATAAACATAATTATTGAGGAGATAATTTGGTGAGCATATTGCATATACATATCAAAATATAGCTGTAGCTTCTCCACTAGTCATTTAACAAGGTTTATGAAAATACAATTTGCTCCTATGGAGTAGGCCTTATCTAGATCTAATCAGAAAGTGGTTAGCTACCCCCAGAACAGACTTGCCATTATTGTACCAGTGTGCATGTCTTGACTGACAAGTCAGAAGACTATCATGCAGTGTCTGTGGCTCAGCAAGGTTGTTGGCATCCCTCCCCAGAATCCTCCATTACACTCTGTAGCACTATGAGGACTAACCAGCAGGTGCTTCCATACCAGTTACAGTTGATTTCTGTATGTCTTACAACCAGAGCATTTAGTCTTCAGCAAGAGACACTAGTGTCTTTTACCATCTAGTTGTCATGAGCAACTGACCACAGTGGCAATTTCCTGTATTGTTTTAGGGCTCTAGGGAGCTTCCCTGAACAACAACTTGTAGTGAAGTAGCCCAGCTCTAGCACTGGGATCCTCATTCAGTAACTGTAGTGTCTGGGATCAGTTTTAGTCACATATACAGGATGCTTATGTTCAAACTCTTAATTTTTTAATTTTGTTTTATATAAGTTTTATATAAGTTTAATTCCTGTGTACATTTTTATTTGGATCAGGGTCTCTTTATATAGCCTAGGCTGACTTTGAACTATGATTTTCTTGCCTCCATCTCCTATGTACTAGAATTACAGGCATGAACCATCATGCCCAATTTGATTCTTTCTAAAACAGAATACATTTTGTGACTCAGTTTTTATTTATCTTGTCAAATTTTATGACATTGTTTATCTAGAAAGAGTTTTGATATGTTTCTTACTTTTAAGTAATATTTCATAACATCCCTGGATGACTTCTGGAATATGTAAGGGGAAATTAACTAACTTTACCAGAATTACTTATATTTCATAAGACAATTTGATACTATTACTACATGCTTTCTATCTTAATATGATGTTGTTTGTTAGGAATTGTATTGTTTATAGACTTGCAAATTTAATACTGGAAGGTGGTTAAGTTTTTGTCTATTATTCATTTTTGTTACGGAGAAACTGACACCTACAAAGGTGAGTAATTGGGCCATGACTGAATGACTCTTCAGGAGCAGAGAAAAGAGCCTGCCTCCTAATATTGTTATTTCACATTGTCCAGCAAGGATACCCTTGTTGTGTATAGTGTAGACAAACTTATCTAATTCTTTCTTTAATTTGCTGTTAATTTGATTCATTGAGCAATTGCCCAAAGACCTGGTGTCCTAATAATGTATTGTGTTTCTTCTTGTCTTGATATTCTTAGCTAATTTCATTTCATTCAACCAGAGACATGATAGGGCCTTCAGCTTGAATTTCAGCCATCTAGAATAGTTTGCTTTAAAATAGTTTTAAACAATTTATTTTGTTTTATTCATGAGTCTTGTTTGCCTGCATATAATCCATGGTCGTGCTGTGCATTGATGGAAGTTGAAAGAGGTGTTAGATCATGTAGAATGGAACTGGAGTTACAGATGGTTGTGAACTGCCACATGGGAACTGGGTAGTGAACCTGGGTTTTGGAAGAACAACAGGTATTCTTAACCTCTGAGCCATCTCCCCAGGCTCTAGAATAGTTTGCTTCTTTAAAAATGCTATTGTATCAGTTTTAAAGTGTGATTTGAAAAGTATTGTCACATGGTTTTTATCCCTCAAATTAAATTCAGTGTTGTCCACCAATGAGCCAGGTACAATACATAACGTTACAGGTATATGAAAGAAGAATAACTATTTCCCTTTAGGCAGTGCAAAGACATGTAAAATTACTGAATTTAGATCATGAAAGTACTAAATTAAAGATAAATGTAGTGTTAAGAACTTTATTTTTTAATTAATTTTTATTTAAATTAAAAACAATCATTATTTTACATACCAATCCCAGTTCCCCCCACCACCCTCCCCATTCCCACCCACCATCCACTCCCCAGGGAGGGTGAGGCCTTCCATGGGAGATTATCAAAGTCTTGTCACATCATTTGGGGCAGAACCTAGGCCCTCCCCCATGTATCTAGGCTGAGAGAATATCCCTCCATGGGGAATGGCTCCCAAAGTCCATTTGTATACTAGGGATAAATACTGGCTCCACTGCCAGAGACCCCATAGACTGCCCAAGCCACCCAACCAACAACCCCATTCAGGGGACCTGGTTTGGTCTTATGCAGGTTCCCCAGCTGTCAGTCTGGAGTCTGTGAGCTCCCACTTGCTCAGATCAGCTGTTTCTTTGGGTTTCTCCATCATGGTCTTGACCTCTCTGCTCATCACTCTTCCCTCTTTGCAACTGGATTCCAGGAGTTCAGCTCAGTGTTTAGCTGGGGGTGTCTGCTTCTGTTTCCATCAGCTACTGGATGAAGGCTCTAGGATGGCACGTAAGGTAGTCATCAGTTTCATTATAGGGGGAGGGCATTTAAGGTAGCCTCTCCATTATTGCTTAGATTCTCAGTTGGGATCATCCTTGTGTATCCCTGGAGATTTCCCTAGTGCCAGGTTTCTCTTTAAGCCCAAAATGGCTCCTTCTATTGAGGTATCTCTTTCCCTGCTCTCCTCTGTTCTTCCTCTGACTCAACCTTCCGAATCCCTCATGTTATCCTCTTCACTATGCTTCTCCTCACTTCTTTCGTCTACCTCCCTCCTTCCCCCCTCCCCTGTGCTCCCAATTTGCTCCAGAGATCTTGTCCCTTTTTTCTTTTCTGGGGGACCGTGTACGTCTCTTAGGTCCCTCCTTGTTTCCTAGCTTCTCTGGGGTTGTCAATTGTCAGCTGGTAATCCTTTGCTCTTGGTCTAATATCCACTTACGTACATACCATGTTTTTTTTTTTTTTTCCTGTGTCTGGGTTACTTCACTCAGGATGGTTTCTTCTAGTTCCATCCGTTTGCCTGTGAATTTCAAGATTCCATTGTTTTTTCTTTTTCCACTGAGTAAATGTATCACATTTTTTTCACGCTCGCTTCAGCAGTGCATATGCTAAGAATTTTATTTTCACAGTAAAGAGACTGTCATAGTCATAAGCACTTACATAAATTTCTTTTAGCCCATAGTAATAATCAGTATATTCAAATGTAGCTAATTTCTATTAGCTTTAGGTAGTTGAGTATTCAATGTATATTATTTGAATTTAATGAAATAAATATTAATTATAGTTACTTAAAATAAAATATTTACATATATGAAATTATATTATAAACAATTAATAAGTATTAATTATGTAATGATATTAATAATCTGTACTCTATCTTGAAAAATTGGAAAATATATACTAAGTCAATGTACATTTGAAGTGATTTTTCAGAGAGTTAAATAACATTGTGTGATTGCAATTGATTCTATCATTAAAGATCTTACTACTTTTAAGACTGTAGCAACCATGTTTTTTAACTATATTTTGCTAAAATTGAGCATTAAATTTGTTTCCTTTCTTATGCCTCTAGGTTTTTGAGAATAAAGTTAATTCAGAGAAGGTGAAATCCTCTCATATGACATTCTCAAGTAAAAATTACGAGTTTCTTTTTCAAGAGCCTTCAGAAAGGTAAGAACAATCTATTTATTGAGTGAGTTTTCTAGTTATTCTCTTCATAGTCATAGCTGGCCCTTTAAATGGAGATGGTAACCACGGACCCTTAATATCTGATCATTTTTCATGATGCAATTCTTTTTAACCCAATTTATCTTTCTTAGAAATAAGTAAATATGTGTAGAGTCCCTGAGGAGAGACTGTTCCTTTAAGTAGCATAAAAATGAGTGCATATTCAGATTTGTTAAACAGTTGATCTGTTTTCAGAAAGAAAATTGTATTTTTAACCAGTGGCCCAACTAGAATGGTGAATTCTTAGTACTACATCTGAAAAAAAAAAATTAAAGAACCAGAAGAGAGTAAATTTCTATTTCAAAAAAAAAATATGAGTTTTTGTTTGTTTGGTTTGGTTTTTCAAGACAGAGTTTCTCTGTATAACAGCTCTCACTGTTCTGAAACTTGCTTTGTGGACCAGGCTGGCCTCAAATTCACAGAAATCCACCTGCCTGTACCTCTCAAGCGCTGGGATTAAAGGTTTATGCCACCATGCTTGGTGATAAGAATGAGAGTTTTTATGTTTATACAATGTTCAATTTTAGGTACTACATATTAAATCAAAACCTATTTGATTGAATTGTGTTCCTAGAGAAATTTATCAATAACATTAGCTGTACTCACCAGAAGAGTATTGCATGATAATATTAATATTTTTGTATGTGTACATCTGTGTAAAACATATGTGTGTAATATACAGACATGCATTAAAAGAACAGAAAATAATGACAATTCCAAGTATGTTGAAGCCCTATTGTCTGGTGAGTTCTATACTCTAATACAAAATACCACCCTTGGCATTTGGATAATAGCTTAAGTAAGCAAATAAACATAGAAAGACAAGTGGTTACATAGTGAGTATTATATAGCCAAAATCCAAAGACTATGCTATAGAAAGCTTATAGCTATTTACAGAAAGGAGTTTAATTATGTGTATGTGTGTGTGTCTGTGCACATGTGTGCAGGTACCCATGGAGACCATAGGTGTCAGGTCCACTGGAGGTGATTGTGGGTTCTAGGAAGTAAACTTGGGTCCTCTACAAGAGCAGTGTACATTTTTAACTGTTGAGCCATCTCTGCAGGCCCTCACAAGCATTTTTGAAAAAGATATAACTATTATTGGATTTAGACTTTAATATAAATAGAAAGCTTAGCAGATGAAAAGAGTGGGGAGGGAATTTTCAAGCTGAGAGATGTTTGAGAAAAGTAAGGGCTTGTGAAAGTATTTACTAATGGTGAGGAGGATGTGTCAAGATGAGATGATGTATGTGGGTTGGGATGACAGAAAGCTGGAGAGAGGAGAATTAAAACTAAAAATATAGTTCAGGCTGGAGTTAAGGAACTCAGTGTGTATGAAGCGAAGCATTTATTTTATTCAGCCTACTAAAATTAAAATGAAGCACAGTTAGATTTCTAGTTGCATTCCTCTTACTGTCTGCCCATCCATCTATCCTGTATTTTTACCCCCTCCCTCAGCCTTGAAAGTTACTGAGGGGAAGGTGAAGAAGATAGCTTAGAAAGGTAGGAATTGAACATTAATAACATGTTTACAGTGGTTCTAAAACAGGAGGAGAAAATAGTAAAAACATCAAAAGTTCCTACAGAACCAAAAAAAAGAGACAGCTAAAGCATAAAGTACATGTGAAAACCAGTAGAAATTATGATGAAAAATAAGCAGCTGCAATATTTTTTATGTGTGCAACAAAGAATGGCCTTGTAATCATAATTTTAGAAGAATTTTTCTAGACATTGAACATTAAGTCTAGACATCAAATGAGGGGGGGATTTGCTAAGTGAGATTGCAAATGAAAGTGCAAGACCAAGGTCCAAAGAATAAGGAAATTGAGTAATAAAAGTCAGAAAGAGACCAGGTCGTCAGTACAGTAAGATTTTTTTTTTTTAAAAAAAAAACAAACGTGTAGTAGTTATTAGCTAGACTAATGAAGGAAAATGTAATATTTCAGGGTATGAAAGAATATATAGATAATTAGTTGTTGAAAGACAAGTCATAGTTGATTAATTCTGAACAGGGAACAAATAAGGAGTGATGAGGAAAGTTGATAATCTAAGTGTTTTCAAAGAGTAAGTTCTGGTTTATATTTTCTAAGAGTGGTTATTGATTTTCAGGAAGGAAGAGAATTGAGTAAGGACTACATGAGGGGAATGATTGCAATGAGCTCTAGTGATCGGGTGGTAGACATTGTTCAAGAACATGGCAATGGCTCCTAAATTGGTATTTGGGATACCAGTTGTTCCTGTACCTCTTGTTGCCTAGCGAAGGGAGAAGAGAGGATGACTGGTGGATTGGCCAAAGGGTTTGCAAGTCAGGCGCAAGGGGAGATGAAGTGTGTGATCAGGTGTTAGAAGTTTAGAGTTACCCTAGAAGGGAGTCAGTTAGAGGCGATGAGAGTGGGAATGCCAGGAACACGCAGCTGATTGAAATGATGTGGCTGACTGTTGACCAATGAGATTATTAGAGGTTCTTTTCTAAATGTACACGTTATTTGTTTTTCTAACTCTCGTGTATGTTTCTTTTCTAGTGAGAGTGATGAGACTATGTGGAATGTCAGTGACTTTCCGCACAACGACAGGTGGAACAGTGTGGACACAGAGCCTGCAGGGCCATCAAAGACTGTCTCCCCGGGGCTTCCTGGTATGGTATTGCACCATTGGTGCTAGTAAGTTCTCAAAGGGTATACACAAAGATATTTTTTAACAAGAATGAAAGAAAGATCTGCGGTAAACTTTTTAATGTGAAAATACTTTAAAAATAAAACACTAGCCCTTCATATTTATGAGAACAATTTCTACCTTTCAGTCCATTTGTATTTCATTGTGTGTCTGTGTTTGTCTGTCTGTGGAGTCTACATAGTATGTATATGTCAGTGAGTGATACTGTACCTTCTTATAGCATCCAGCTCTGCCTAGTGTCTTTGGAAAGTTCTACTGTAGGAGAAGGTTTCTTGTCCCCTCTCAGTGACAGGAGATTTGTAACAGTATTGGCCCATTGTAACATGGGCCCAGCACGGTTTCTTTCCTATCTGCTTGGAGTGCAGTCTTGGTTGCGTTCCCTTTTCCTACTGCAGTAGGTCTGCACTTTGCTACAATAAGATTGGCTGCAATTCTGTCTACAGTTAAAACTTTTCTTCTGGGTGGCACTAGATCCTACTCAGGCATTATGCACGTCCCACAGTGGCGATAGCTCCCTCTTCCAAGTCTATACTACTTGGGAAATGATCTTTTCACTTCCTGCTGTGGTCCCAGGCCTTATATTGAGTACCTGTTGGAGATCTGTGAAGTTGAGTCCATGAGTGTGTGCAGACTGTTGGTGCCCTTGACTTCTTAGGATTCTGTACTGCTTTTGTTTGAGTGCTTGTTTCGCAGGTGTGCAGTTAGTTGTCTGTTTCTCTTTCCTACTAGCCACTATAAGTGAGATAGTATTCCACATCCTGTCACACTTGAGAGGATTCAGTTTTACCTCAGACTTCTGATTCTTCAGTTGCCCTGGTCTCAGCTATCTGATAAATTCAAAGAAAGGATAATAGAGTGGCTTTAGCAACTTGCATATATTATTAGGACATGAGTGATGTTCATCATAGCTTCCTATAGTTTAGGCACAAGTAGAATTTATAATATGTCTGTAAGATATGAATAAATTCCTATATAAAACATTTCTTTTTCAAAACCAATAACCATGCACATCACAGTTTCTTTTCAGAATAATTAGTGACATTCCATTGTATGACTTACCATAATCTATATTATTGATTTCTTGTTGGATATGTAGACATTGTGATAAATATCCCTGGGCTGATTCTTTAGTAATAGTCTTAGATTGAATTTTTGAGTAAGCAAGTAAACACCCTTAGATCTACACTCCTGTAACAACAGTGCAAGTCCACAAGCTTGGCTTAGAGGCTTTAAATGAAAGGGTAGGAGTCAGGAGCCATAGAAAAACTACACACCTACACCCTCTGAATCTGGGCTGTTGTTTTTAGTTCTTCCAGCACTCAAACATGATGACCTTTTTTGCTTTATTACGTTCTCTTAGTGACAACTCATGTTTGTGTGGCATGAAATTAGTTTACTTCCACCAAGGACTATCATGGCCTAACTGTTATATAGGCCACTTCGCAATATAACAAGAGATATTCAGAAGTAACTTGTTTCTAGGGACTCTCCTTCTCAACTTCAGTGCAGGACTAAGATTGGACTCCTCTAAGAACTGACAATTGAGCCATAGTGACAAAACATTAATGCTGTCAGTATATTAAGAACTATATTTTAACAAGTAAAAGACCACCAGAGGACATATGGGCTAAAGATATTGACAGGTGCATCACAGGAAAGAAATACTGAAGAAATGTTTCAACCTAATTATAAACCAGGAAAATAAAAATTCAATAACAAATAATTGTAGAAACTATATGAACAGTATAAACTGATTGTTTTAAAATATAAAATACATTAAGAATCCATACTGGTAAACATGTGTCATGTTGTATATTCAGTTGTAAATAGGACGTTTATATTCTTGTCCCAGAAAGGAAATAATTCGACCTCCTTGGTTTTTTCTCTAACTTACATTCCTCTTACTATCTTATAAAAGAGAAAGGGGATTTATTTTATCATATATTCTTATTGAAGAGAGATAAACTCATAGTTGTTATATTCGTTTGTGCTATATCTGCTCTCGCTAATAACACGTTCTCTTTTCTTTCAAACAAAGAAGCACCTCATTTGATGTTTTTTTTTTTCTGATAAAATGATCACAGCATTCATTCCTCAAAATCTGAGCAGTTAGTAGTTCTGCTTAAATTGGGTGGCCGTGGTTTTCTATTGCCTTCCGTTGTTTTAGCACACCTTAGAGGGTCATTGGGCATACTTCTTTTCCCCATTGATAGGGCCATCGCCATTTTCCCTTGGTAATTGCAGTCTATCACATTGGGTGACATAACAATCTCCTTTTACTTGTTAGTGGTATCCGAGGAGCACAGAGAGAGGGCCTGGTGGCATTGTCAACTTCCAGTTCAGTAACCATCATTTTCCTCAATAGACCCCTTTCTCAGTCTTCTTAGATCAGCCTTGATGCCTTTTGTCAAGTTTTTGGTTGTTCTGAAATTTTATAATACAGATCATGTACATTATTTTTAGTTGATTCTGTAGGTTTTCTTGTGCTATCTTTGGCTCCTTGGGCTCTCACAATCCTTCCTCCTTCTCTTCCTCAGGATTCCCCAAGGTCCATGCTGGGGATCTCTGCAAAATTTTCCACAAGTTGCAACGTGAAGCTAGGGATGGGGATGCAGTCTGGGGTTGTTGGGAGGGTTTTAAGGATAGCTAAGGCGTTTTATTTTTATTTATTTTATTTTTTTCAGATTTGTTTATTCTGTATGTGTATATACAACTTCATGCCAGAAGAGGGCATCAGATCCCACTATAGATGGTTGTGAGCCATCTTGTGGTTGCTCGGAATTGAACTCAGGACCTTTGGAAAAGCAGCCAGTGCTGTTAACCATCTTGAGCCATTTCTCCAGCCCCTCAGGCATTCTTAAGAGGAAAGTTTATAGCTCTCACATGCGCGTGCGCACACACACACACACACACACAGACACACAGACACACAAACACACACGCACCCACACACGAATTCCTGAGTTGGGTCACTGGATATCCTAGTTTGCTTTTCCATTGTTGTGATAAACTTCATGACCAAAAATCAATATAGGAGGGAGGAAGGGTTTAGGGTTTAGGTTATAGTCCGTCATTGCAGGAAGCTGGGAAGGAGCACAAGGAGGTGAAACCATTGAAGAATGCTGCTTCCTCAGCTCCCTCCTTGTACAACCCAGGACCGCTGCCCATGGGTGATAGTGCTACAGTGGCCTAGGCCTTCCTTCATCAAATACAGCAACGGGAAAGTACTTCAGAACTTAGGTATGTGCAACAAATTCCTGAATAGAATCCTAACACCACAAGAACACCCCAAAAGTTGGCAAATGAGATTACACGAAGTTAAAAAAAAAATAAGTTTCTGATAACGTAATAGGCAGACAGCCTAGAAAATGGTAGGAAATCTTGGCCAGCTGTACTTCAGACAAGGTGTTAATATCTGGAGTATATAAAGAACTGCAAAATATTAAATACCAGAGACACAAAGCTTCTAGTTCATAAATGGGCATATGATCTGAACAGTTTTTAAAAGAAGAAACACAAATGACAATATTTTAAAACTGTTTAAGGGGTGCTCAGCCCCAGCTGATGGATTTGCAATACAACCTCTGCACCAAAGGCTCAGGGAACAACATAGAAATGGAGGCAGAAAGAATGTCAGAGCCAGAGGACCAGGATGCATGCTCTAGATAGTTCCCCTACACAGCAGGGAAAATAACCCATGGACTCTTACCAGTGTGGTTGCATGAACAAGACATATTGACAGCACCAGGTGATAGACAAGCATAGATGAGGGGTTCCATCCATTCTCTTTTTAGATGAGAGGTTCAGGTGGTCAGTGGCTGCAGAGGGGCAGACTCGCTTTCCTCCAGAGACAAGCTTCCATGCAGGCTGCCCAATCACAAGTGGTCAGTCCTGGACACATGTACATAAGAGCAACACTGAGTGAACTGTGTGTGTGTGTGTGTGTGTGCACATGTGTAAAAATAATAAGGTCATGATTTTGGGGGGGAGAAGTGGGGTATGGGAGGAGTTAGAGGGGGGGGAGTGGTGTTAATGATACAGATCCAAAACTTATGTGTAAAGTTCTCAAAAACCTGTTTAAAACTATCAAACATCTGTAGCAATCAGACAAATGCAAAGTAAAACAACTTTGTGTTTCTATCACATCCCAGGGAGAATGGCCACTGTCAAGTGAACAAATGCTAGCCAAGTGAGGAGAGAGAACCCGTATATATTATTAGTGGGAGTGTAAGGTAGAACATCTAAAAAAGTACTAGTGAATGATCCAGTTTTTCACTCTGGTGCATATACCCAAAGGACTCTAATTCTACTACAAAGATACTTATACATCCTGTTTATTTCTTCTCTTTTCACAATAGCAAGGAAATGGAGTCTGCCTAGGTGGTCATCAACAGATGGATAATGAAAATATGACATATAGGTATAATAGAAAAAAGATAAAATTATGAAAATTTCAAGAAAATTAGTGTATTTGAAATATTTTAGGTGAGGTAGTCTAGGCTCAGAAAGACAAACACCATTTGCTCTCTTGTTAGTAACCTCAAACTATAAAATAATACATATCCAGGTAGTAATAAATATGGGTAAAGGTTTTGAATGGGTAAAAGGTTAAAACATGGAAGGGAGATTGGGAGAAGATACTAAAATGTGTATGAAACTCCCAAAAGGAAACCTATTTGTAAGTTAGTCTTAAAAATCAGTCTATTGGGCTGGGTGTTGGTGCTACATGCCTTTAATCACAGCAGTTTGGAGCCAGAGTCAGCAGAGGCAGGCAGATCTCTGTGAGTTTGAAGCCAAACTGGTCTACAGAGCAAGTTCCAGGACAGACTCCAAAGCTATACAGAGAAACCCTGTTAAAATAAAAAAAAGGAAAAGAAAAAAGAAAAAAAAAACAAAACAAAACAACAACAACAATAAAACCCAGCCTATTGTGGATGTCTTTTGAATTTTTACAATTGTTTC